TATATGTATATTTGTCTGTGTGTGTGTGCGTGTGTGTTTGTATGTGTTTGTACGTATATGTGTATGTATATCACTTTCTTATGTTATCATTTTATCCTGTAGTTTTTTATAACAGAGAATTGCATGGGAAAGAAAAAATAAAACACATACACAAAGTGTCATAACTGTGCTGCATATGGACATTTGCAATATATATATATATATATATATATATATATATATATATTATCATCCCTTGGCCTTCTAGTAACTTGGTACAATGTGGGTTAAAAATGCTGATATAACGACAGTTATGGCCTTTCAGTCACCAAAAAGTCGTTTAGCATGCAAAATCCAATTTGCTTCTTAAAAACTCGATCCATACACTTGTTCCTTCTGTCACTATACATACCCACAGCAGTTACAGCAACAAAGTTGAATTTTATGAGAAATGTAATTGCACGAATTTTCACGCATAGTGATATATATTTTTCTAGTAACAAGCCATTATATTTCAACAAAAAAATACTCTGTTTACCATGAACCTGAAACACTTTACTTTTTTCTTTAAATAGCTTAAGCAGTAATTCATCCGAGATCAAACGAAGTATGAACGCATCACACATGCAGTTACCCACAGAAGACTAAGCATGGCTATCACTGACTCCAAGAATCAGATTACAGGTCTTGTCTGAAAGAGGGAGATTTGACGAATTCGTCTAGAATGAGACCGTTGGTGTAATTTATCCGCCCACATAAACTCAAACGAAAATTTAATGACAAATGTATTAAAGGCGAAACATATATATAATTACCCTTGCTAGCTACCTACGGGACATATATTACAGTTTAATGCAGCAACTAATTAGACTAAACAGTTTATACGAGCCATGATGTATGAATGAATGCATGATAAGTCTAAACCATGCATTCATAATGATAAGTACATGCTTGATCAAGATACTATTTAGAGTTTCTAGTAGTATTTCTTGTGACCTAACCTGTATCTCATTACTCATATCCTCTTGTTTCTGTTTTCTGATCATATTCCACTCTCCTTCCCCTCTTTCACTTCCTACACTTCTCTAATTCCCCAGTTTCCTTTTTCATGCCTCAGGGCGTTGCCCAATCTCTACCGCTACTCTCTCTCATTTCCTCCGTGACTTACCCGCACAGTCAAATGCCCAAATAATTCAAGTGTTAGCTCAAGGAGAATTGTATTACATTTGTTATGGAGTTTTTTCCTTTTCATATTCCACAATAAAATGGGAAACTATTTGAATGATTATCGGTATTGTTAACATTCTGTATATCATACTATTAACATACTAGTTGTCAGGCAATAATGTTTTTTCCGCATGTATGTGGCTGGCGTGCGCAAGGGTTTTAATATGATTTTAGCTCCTTGTTACATTAATGTTAGCATATATTTACAATTGTAAAACCGCGTCTTAGCCAATCACAGATGTGTACAGTTGGAAATACCGTTACCTGTATATCATTTATATATATGTATGTATATATATATATATATATATATATATATATATATATATATATATATATATATATATATGTATTTGCATTACATATGTATACATATATATATTATACATATTTGCATTACACATATATATATATATATATATATATATATATATATATATATATATAATATACATATTTGCATTACATATGTATATACATATATATAGTTTTATATATATAAATGTAAAAATATGATTAGATATATATGTATGTATGTATGCATATATACAAATATATGTCTACATATACTTATATATATACATATATAGATACACATACACACACACAAACATATATATATATATATATATATATATATATATATATATATATATATATATATATATATATATATATATATACATATATATATATATGTATATATTTACATATATATATGTGTGTGTGTGTGTGTGTACATATGTACATACATATTTGTATGCACATGCACACATATATGTGTGTGTGTTTATATACACATACATAAAAAAATATATATATACATATATATATATATATATATATATATATATATATATATATATATATGTATATATACACACATATATGTTATTTTATATTATATATCATATATATATGTTCACACACACACA